GGACTTCTGGATTAGCCAAAATGTAGCATTGGTGAGAATCCATGCTTTAATTCGACAAATTGGAAGATGGTTTGAATCAGTACCATGTGTTTGTTATTTTCCAAGTGAATAATTCTCTATATTTAAGCAATAATTACCCATTTTACTGAGCTGCCTTCTCCAGCCAAAGTTCATCCAACACTGTCTGGGACAGCAAAATATACAAAAAGTGCATCACCAGGTGGACAGAAGGGAGAAAATACACACTGTCCTGCGTGCTGCAGTGACAGTGTTTTATGGAAGCTATTGGAGAGCTGTTCTGCATCCTGAGACAGTCAGCATATACTATAAAGTATCTGACTTAAGCAATTTCTTTTAGTCCAAGCCGAAGATTGGCTTACATGAGCATAAATTCTGATTTTAACTGTAACCTATTAAGCTATATTCAATCTGACATTCATTTTATTAGCATTCTCCTGAACTCTTCAGGCAAGCTGTAAGAACATTTCTCTTTTTAGCCTCCAAACAATGCCTTATTTACATACTGATAAAAGAATACGATGCCCTCCCCAGCACTGATTAATTGCCAGAAATGATGTATGAGCCCCCCCACATTCTGAACACACTGCTGCAATGGAAACGTGTGAAAGTAATTCTGTTCCAATTCCATCTCATGGGAATGTGGGCTCATAAGCGTCCAATTAAAACTAATTCCCTTCGATCAAGATGTGCTTTAGGTTCATGTTAATGTAGCAGGATGCATTTAGATTGTGTCTGCGATACATTTTTTACCAGGGTGAGAAAAATCTTAACTATCATACAGAAAGAACACAGCTCTTCATTCCCTCTTCATTACTTTGTGCATGCAAATGGTAATTCTATTTACACTAGCTCAACATGCCATCTTTTAAAGAAAACTGCAGGACAGCCCAGCCAACTAAAACCCTGCATGGGAATCTGCCTGCAACTCGGATTTTCACTCCAAAAGCTGCCACTCTGATCTGCTGTCTGACACAAACCATAGGAATTCCCTCTGCTACACTTCCTCCTTCAAGCCCAATGGCTGTGGATGGACTTGGACGTATCTTTTAGGAAGGCATCCAATCTCATTTAAAAATTCCAGCCTTGGGAAGTCCAGAACTCTGGTTCAACTATTCTGATGATTCATCCACCACGCAAAAAGTGCAAACCAGTCTGAATTGGTTTTAGTCTGTGTTGGTTTTGCTTCAATTTCCAGCTACTACAACACACTATACTTGTGCATTCTGAACAGAAGGGCCCCTTACTTGCAAATTTCTTTACCCTTAACATCCTGAAACATTTCAGAGTAAACTCATGAAACTGCCCAAGTCAACCTCAAGTGAAGGCGATACTTTTTGGACCGTTTCTCCCAGAAGCATGACCTACATGATGAAATTCTGCTCGCTCCATGAAAAAACTCCTTGCTGGCATTAAGCCTGGTTGGGTACTTTCTGGCATCAGCAATTTTTCCCCTTCACTGACTGCTGCTTTCCTAAAAAAAATGCTCACAACATGATTTTCAATAGGGCAGGAGTTAATGAACCAGTGCGTGTGGGTTTCCAGTAGACAGGCAACCAGTGAGGAGCATCCATTTGAACTCTATTTTGAGACCCAGGTGATTTCTCACCACCACATGCCAACAGCATTGATCTTCTGCCTCAACGGTTTCTTGATCAATATGCTGTGCAGTACAAAGACAAGTAATTCATTATAGAATTATTTATAAACAATTTCCTTCTGCCAAGTCACTCGATGTTGAGTGCAAAGTGATCCTCTCATAATTAAAAAACTCTTCAAGAAAATTACCAGCAGCCAGATGAAAAATTACAATCAAAAAGCAATAACATTAAATTGTAGTAACACAGAGCTCTGCAGGAACTTCTATTTTTGTTGGAGTTTTGTTCCAAAGGAACACAATGAAATGAACCGATTTATTCATACCCCGCTGCAGTGGCCAAAGCCAAAGCCTCATCTCCTGACCTGTGAGCTCAGAGCAGGAACTGAGCCCACACAAAACATCTTCAGTGAAGCTCGGAGAAGATTCCATAAGAACCTACAGGCTGCTCTACAGACATCTCAGCACAGCAGTATCATCAAGCAAGCCCCCATCCTCAAGGAAATATTAACACAGCTTCACAATCTTTATGCTTTATCAATTTTTGCTCACCATCACCTTTATTTACTTCTTATGTCAGTTAATTAAATTGTCACCTGCGCCATGGTCTACCTATAACTAAGCAATAATTGTGCTGCATGATAGCACAGTGATTCTGAAATCCGTGAGCAGCCAAGCCTGGCTCACTTACAGCATCGTTTTCCTGCAGAACTGGAACTTCTTTCAATCTCAATCTGCTCTCATGAGTTAAAATCCCAGGGTAGGAAGGAGGTCCAATAATAAACACATCTTTCTCCCCACCTTCTCCTCAGAGGCTGACCCTGAAGAAAATGAGTCACCTGAGCTGCTTTGTGGACAATACTTGGACACTTCTGTTTGTCCCAACACTGGGAAAAGCAGAGATGCAACCCAGATAAGGAGGACCAGCTGGCTTTAGGTAGAACTTCATCACAGCATTGCAGCTATAGAAACATTCCTGGTTCTCTGCAGTGTTTTCAAAGTGAATCTGCAAGGCTGTGATCTGCAGAGACTGCACGCTCTTACAGTAATGTAATTGCATAATTCCATTGACTCTGGTGGCACGGGTGGGATATGGTTGCAGAGCTCATCTGTGTCATGCTGCAGACTGCGTGCCCAAACTGCTGAAAGGGCATTGCAATCGTATTGGCTATGCTGTGCTGCTTGAGCAAGCCTGGTATTAAGTGATAAAAGACATGCACAGTGGGTAAACTGTGCAAATTTGACATCACATTTCTTTGCCTTTCTTTGGAGAAAAGACCTAATTCCAATGAAGTCATACAGCTTCTCTTTTTGCCCTCCTGCTTCGTGAGCATCTCCTCAATTTACAAGGCTCAGCAAACTGAATTTCCTGCTTGCACACACCCAGCGTCAAGCTAGTGAAGAACATAAAAGTGTCCTTCATTTGCACAGCATTCGAAAACACATCACTGCTTGCACTGCCTGCTGCCAACCCATGCACCAAGCTAATTTCCTTTTCAGAAATAAAAAAGACACGGAGCACAGACATGAGCATTAAAACGTCACACGCTGAAGGTGTCAGTCAAAAGGAAACCACCAAAGGTGTGAGTGGAAGAGCACATTTCACATCATGAGGCAAAGTGACTACAACAGAATACAAGTGAGGAGCAATGGCAGATTACAACCCCGGTGTCCGTGTCGTGTCTCCTCTGTTTCATCATTTAGAAAAGCCTCCAGAAGTAACAGAGGCACTCAGTTCCAACCCAGGCTACAACTGCTGCTGCTGCAGGTAGATAAATAGACAGAATCTGCTGTCCTTCCCCTCCACCCCACCTTTAACCAACGTCAGCTGTTCAGTGAGCATGGGACGAGCAGTGTCCATAGATCTGACAGGTCCCAGCATCACGCACAGATCTATGGTGGCTTAGAAACCAGCAGCACTGATCAGGACAGTTTTATGGTTTTTACCTGGAGTGCTGCAAGATGCATGCAAAGGGAGGGCTGCAACCTGTAAATCATCACAATCAGTTATTATCAGCCTTTAGAGGAGAGATGGAATGCATGAAGTACTAGCAGGAGATGCACACAGGGCAAAACAGTGCTGCAGTGTTTTGCTGGATGCAGCAAAGTTTCATACTGCTAAACTCTCTCCATCGGTTTCAGTATGGGGTGTACCCAGATGCACTTTTTGCTCTAAGAACCTCATAAGCTTCTTACATGAAAACAGTTACAGGGTTATCAGCGCTGCCTTCACCCATAAAGCCACCACACAAAGATTTTGGTGTGGACTGCCCTCCTTGTCTTTGAAATCTGATGGATTTAGCCTGCTTTCATACTGCACTGCTCCAAATTAAGCCGGAGAAGGCCCCTGGGTTTTCAATCTCCTGTGGAGAGCCCCCCATGTAACTCTCCATCATTAAGTACCACTGTAACATTCCTTTTGAACCAGAAGAGCTATTTCAGCTCGCATGCAATGTTTCCTTCCCCAGACAATCAAGCTGGTTTTACTTATGTTCACTGTGTGGTTTTCTGCTATTGTATGCTGGTTAGCTGGGAAGATGCATTTCCAGGCTGAGTGCTTTCCATCCTCTCTCCAATGCTGCCATGCTACTTTTTCCTTGTTTTCCTAAAACTTTTAGCATTTTGCTCAAAATAATTATCCACAGCATCAGCAGTGAAATAGTGAAATTTAATTTTTACTTGGAATAAACATCTTAAAGGAAGTATTTGGGTACTGTGCCTGGAATTCATTTAATTTCCCCTATAATTTACAGTTTCATGGAGCATCCACAATTCTGCATCATGAACTTTTATATAATCAGTGCAGACTGATGGACTCTAGCTGTTCTTCTCATGTGGTGTAGGCACAACTGATAACATCAAAAAGCAGACCTGTCTTAATTTGTCATTAAGTGCCATGATATGAAATTTCATCATTCTCAATCTTGATAAACAATTTATATACAGTGGTACTGAAATAATGGGCAAGTAGGGCAATCAGGGAAGTACTGGACACATTTAAGACAGGTTCTGCTGCTGCACTACATCCAAACAAAGGACACTACTGCATGGAAGCTTTGTGAACCACAGCTCACAATTCTAACACCACAGCCCTATTCTCTCTCTTAACGTGAAAAGGGTTTAAAACTTCCAAAACCCACATGTTAATTCCAGAATTTGTGCTCAGTCTTTGATGACAGATATTCTGAACGAGAAAAGCTGAATCAGAACTTAATCTGAATCAGGTTAAACGTCCATTTCCACCACATTTTTAGGACACATACCAAAGATGCCATAAAGACACAAAGAACCCCTTCCCCATTCCACGTCACCCGTCACTCAGAACATGCACAGAGCAGGCACAGAGCATGCAGCATGCAGTAAGTGCAGAGCAGAGGTTAATAACCTGGCAGCATAGGATCTGAGAATGTGAGAACAAGTTAAAGACAAGAGTTCCTCTCCATTGTCACTGAGGGTCGAGAAGCAATGCTGCAGCGTGGAGCAGTGCGAGTGGGGGAAATACAGTTTGTCCAAGACATAGACATATCTCCGCAAGTGGCGGCAGGTATAACTGAAAGACAAGGGTGGGGGGAGAAAACAGAAAGAGAGGCATTGTTCTTTAAGAAAGCTAATTCATGTTTTCTGTGTTTTGTGCCAAGAGTCAATGGAAGGTGCCTAAGAAAGCAATGGAGCATCCTGTCACACTGGGAGACAGATCAGCCAGCTCTCCGTGAGCGTGAGGATGCTCCCCCCTGGTTGAGTGCCGACCCCAGGGCAGCCCAAGAATCTCCTGCATGGAATGCTCTTGGACTCATCTCTTTCACTGATTTCAGGATGAAGAAATCAGCACTTCACCTCGTCTACAGCCTCCTTTGCAAATGAAAACCCTCATTTCAGTTTTATAGGTTAAAACTCAACCAATAAACTTCCCATCCCCAAATAATGAGTGCAAGACCAGCCGAGCCTTGGTTGCCATTAGCAGGCTCCTAAGCCTAACACTTTACCAGGACCAACACCCCCCAATTGGTTTGGTTTAAATAGCATTCACCACTAGCATTAAATAATCACCTACCTGTGCTGAGAAAGTCAAGGAACACAAAGATTTGGGGTGCATTGTTTGCTTTCTGCAAACAAAGTTAGTACTTCTTACTAACTTTCAGTAGAAAACCAGCTGCTGGTATCTGGTGATCTTTAGGCATCACACCTCTCTCTGACCACAGCTGTAAGTGCTATCAGCATGCTGCAAGCAGTGCAGTATCCAATCACTGGATAGGACAGGGAATGTATTAGAACACCATAATAAAACAGAGCTCCCCCTCAGCTGCCCACAGAGGCCGCAGGATTTTTTCCAAAACCAGATTAAAGATCATCTTTGGGAATGTTGCTGCTTTGAAGATTTAAACCATCATGTGTCTATTACTTATGTTTAGTTGTTTTGCATTTTACCACCCGTTACTAGAAAAATTGTGCACTATTTCAAGCTGTAAAAATCTCATTCCATCCATTCCGTCCCGTTAGACTTTTGTCAAGAATCTGAGAGCATCCCCTAATATCACTTACCCTCCATAGCCAACAGCTTCCCTCTCATAAGAATGAAATTTGATCCGTGAGTGAAATAATCACATTTGGGTTTAATTGGCAAAATGAATGGGAACAGTATGTGATGGGAGGAGGAATACCCGATAATGTCATGCAATCATAGAATGGCTTGGGCTGGAGGGGACCTTAAAGATCACCTGTTCCAAACCCCTTCCATGACCTGGTGGCCAGCTTCCAGCTCAGGCTGCCCATGGCCCCATCCAGCCTGGCCTGGAATGCTCCCTTCAAGTACTGGAAGGCTCCATGAGGTCTCCCTGGAGCTCTCCTTTCTCCAGATCAAACAAGCCCAGAGCTCTCACGCTCTGCTGGGACAGCACACAGTGAGGCTGTGGATCCTGCCCCTACTTCCAAAGGTGACCCTGATTACTGATAGGTACGACTTCAACTGATGCCATGAGTAGTGCAACCCTGCACACCTGCCTGCTGCACTGTGTTACAGCCACAAGACACATCACATTAAAGACTAAGCATTTCTAGCATTACATCCTTCCTTTAGCTACATTACAGTTCCAACAGATCTGAAAAAGAGACATTAAAGAAAGTTAAGAACATCGTATTTGACAGATAGTAACATGCACATATTATTTATGTACTTTCTTCACCCCAAGGACCAAATTTTAGCTCCTAGTGCACTGAAAGACCATTCCAAAAGAAATCTGTATCTCTTCTAATAAAAAGTAAGAACTGTTTGACCCGCACTTTGAATATTGATAACAAAACATTACAGAGTGTCAAGTTTTAATAGCTATAAAGTGGTGTCTGGTTAAACATGTTTGGGAAAACTGGGTTGAATTATCCAAAATGATATTTTATATATATAAATATATATATTATTTTATATAAATATATATATACACATACGCATGTATGTATTTTCAAATAACAAGATTTGGTTCCTATTTCTTGAGGCTCTAAAAATAATAGAACTCTTCTAATATATAAATATTACTGTAGCTACATTCTCTATACATTTAAGCTTATTAAAGAAGAAATCTCACATGCCCGATTAAGCCTTAAACCATGAACATTCTTTGTATTTAACAGCCACTGCTAACTGACAATGAAAAGAAACCCCCCAAATTTTCTAATCCAAACTGAAATCCAGGTTAGCAGCAGTTCTTTGTAGGCTATAGAGACAGGAATCATGATCAGATAAACACCCATCTCAACCATCAGGTCATCAGTGAGTCCCCAGCAAACTGGTTGGAAGGGAGGATGACAGCAATGGGAACTCAATGGCATAGGATGACATCTTCAGGATGGGACCGAGGCAAAGCTTCAGGCCAAGTCCTCATCTGTGCTGATGGAATCATCCATTGGTGCTTTGATGTGAGTGTAATGGAAGTCAGAAAGTGGCATTGAGAGGTCTCCAGGGCTTCACTTCTGATGAGTTTATTTGGGGGTTTCTGGATTATCTTTTTCCAGGGAAGCACAAAAAGTTCCACCAAGGACAGCGTGTGGGGAATTGAAACAGAGAATACAGAATGCAACACCAAAACCAGCTCAGGAAAGGCTGTTTTGGTAACCACAAGGAGTGCACATTTTTAACAAAATACACCTGAAGATCTCTGACACAGAATCTGACATCCACGAGACCTGTAAGCTACCTATAACTTAAGAACTGTTTCCTACTCAGCTTTCTGGCAGCTGCAGGAATGTTTCCTTGCCTGACCCTGGCATTGCTCAACCTTGCCCAGAGACAAGATATAAAATGAGATGGGAGGAAACTTGGGTACTGCTGGGTAAACACTGAAACAATGAAAAAACGTCAAATCAAGTTCAATCACAGTCAACTCCAACACTCTCTCAGAGAAAACAAACCATTTCCTAGAGAGAATTTGCTGTAGGTCACCATTAGAGGGCCGTAGGGCCAAGAGGGGATGTAGGGCCGTGAGGGGGCTACAGCTCCTACAATTACGAATTTGCTGAACATTTCCCACACTTGCATTTTTTCACGTTTCTTCTGAAGAAAACTGAGCCTCCCTGAATTGTCCCATGCTGTGGCCAAAGCGTCACCATGACCTGTCGCGTGCAGAACATGAAGGAAGCCCAACTACGGCAACTTGATGGAGTTTCTATCGCTCATCAGTTAAATGTCGATAGTGCTAAATCCTAACAAAGAATGATGAAGCTGAAGCAGCACACAGGGGCTGCACAGCAGCCATCTGACACCACCAGAAGAGAAAGCTGCCACTGATACTTCCAAGTTTTCTGGCTTAGCTGATCACACCACTCCAAATCTTTAACCTGAGCTCCATGCACTCCAAGAGGTGCACAGCAGAATAAAGCCACAGAATCAATACTCAGCAAAATTGAGAGCTAAATAAGTGGTGGAATTGCTGCTTACAGCAGTTTTTTAACCAAAACGTTAAGGACAGGCTTGAAGAAGACAAAAGCACCGAGCAACTCATGCAGAGCCACTGCCATCCTCATTTGTTTAAACCAGAAAGTGAATATTTTCCCTACTGAAGTCAACTGAAATTGTAAAACAAATTTGTTTTTTGTTTCAGACAAAAAAAATTAACAGCACCAAGCTGATATCTTTTCAACAACACAGAAATGAAGCAAATTGGGCAGGGTGTAAAAGAAACACAGAATTCACTCAACCCTCTGTAAATACGATACAGTCTGAAACAACATATACAGGATTCAAAAGACAAATTCCCAGTACTAATGGCTAAATAACTGTAATTCATAATCTTTCTCTCAGTGCATGCCAGATTTTATGAAGGTTATAAATCTTCAACATCATTGAGAAAAAGTACGGTCTTGAAGACATACATACCATATGCATTAGCTCAGAGAAACTAGATTAATCTGCAGCAATAAAAAAAGCCAATTTTGCTAAGCCTGATTAACTATCTAGGTCATATTGTTTCTGAAGCAGAATGTTAAAAATGCACCACACAACATCTTCTGCTAAGTTTGAAGACTTAATCACCAGAGTTTCAAAAGGGAGTTATGCTACAACATGACTCTATGGGGAAGCCAGCATGAAATCATTTTTTATAAAAAACAATGAAGAACAAGCTAATTAAGCTTCAGCACATGGTAGTCAGCCTCCCAAACTATCTCTGTACATGCAAGGAGAATGTTGTGACGTGCCACAAAGATTTTACTCCCGTTCATGTCAGACAACCTATACTCCAGGAGTCCTACTGGTCATTAGTCCTACATTCCCAAAGACAAATGCAACAAAAATGCATTCTACACCCACTCAAATCTAAAGAGAGGGTAACAGTAACTTACTTGACTGCCTAATCTGTAAGAACGGCTGTTTTATTCTCTGCCTAAGATATTATTAATGTTGTTTTACGTAGCACAAGCAGCAGAAATGCAACCCACCAAAAGCAGGCTTGCCTTCCTGCCAACAGAAAATTACAATACAAGATTAGGCTATGGGACAAATCACAGAATCACAGAATCACAGAATCACCCGGGTTGGAAGGGACCTCAAGGATCATGTAGTTCCAACCCCCCTGCCCAGCAGGGCCACCAAACATCCACATTCAGATCAGGTTGCCCAGGACCCCGTCCAACCTGGCCTTGAACACGTCCAAGGACGGGGCATCCACAACCTCCCTGGGCAGCCCGTTCCAGGGCCTAACCACTCTCCTTGTGAAGAACTTCCCCCTAACATCCAACCTAAATCTTTCCTCCTTCAACTTGGATCCATTTCCCCTAGTCCTGCTGTTGTCAGCCCTTTTGAAGAGTTTACTCCCCTCCTGGGTGTAGGTTCCCTTCAGGTATTGATAGGCTGCCATGAGGTCACCCCGCAGCCTTCTCTTCTCCAGGCTGAACAAGCCCAACTCCCTCAGCCTGTCCTCATAGGGGAGGTGCTCCAGCCCCCTGATCATCTTAGTTGCCCTCCTCTGGACCCTTTCCAAGATCTCTACGTCTTTCTTGTACTGAGGGCTCCACACCTGGACACAGTACTCCAGGTGGGGCCTCACAAGAGCCGAGTAGAGAGGG